ACTATTGTAATCAGCATAAAGTTGCCTTGTTGAAAAGAATCAACGTTTTTAGTGTAAATTTTCGTGTGTATTTTGACCCACTATTATGAGTTCAAAAAGCGGCTTTATTTTAAATAAAAGATGCCAAAATATTTATTGAAACTTCAAGAAAATTTTTTATATATATCATTTTTTTAATCTATTAAGAAGTTTATGTGTTATAAATGTTAAAAGAAATTTTTGGCATTCAAGTGAATGTTACACACACTAATTAAAAAAAAGAGAAAGGATTTGCACACTGACTGTTATTATTAATTTTTTTATGATTAAGATTATTTTTTATGATTTATCATGATTTTTTTATGATTAAGACTTTTAAGATTTTTATAAGATTTTTATAAGATTTTTAAGATTTTTATAAGATTTTTTATGATTTATCATTATGATTTTTTTATGATTAAGATTTTTAAGATTTTTATAAGATTTTTATAAGATTTTTAAGATTTTTATAAGATTTTTATAAGATTTTTATAAGATTTTTTATGATTTATTATTATGATTTTTTTATGATGTTTTTTTAAAAATTTTATTTATTTTTATTTTTACATTTTTTTTTCAATAAAATAATGAATTATATCAATCAATCCGCCTTCATTAGCTCTTTGGATAGATCAAGTAACAAATGATAATTGTATCTTGCCTGGATTATTATTTTTAATTTCTTTGTAAATGATTAACAGTATATTAATATAATAATAACAATATAATATATATACACATACATTAATATTAAAAAGAAACACATTTAAAAGTTTTATATATTGAATTCATCATAAAATAAAAAGAGTGGTAAAACTATTATTAATATTAATATAAATTTTATCGTGAAATTATAAATTCCTGCAATGGATGCAGGTTGGTTTTTAGTTTCATTATTATTATAATAATTATAAATTTTTAATCCCTCAAACTCATTATTATTATTACATTCTAAATAATTTACGAATATTACAGTTAATATTAATATTAAGTTCTGATAATCATCATTCAATTTCTGATAATCATCAGTCAATTTCTGATTTTTTTTATTTAATTTCTGATAATCATCAGTCAATTTCTGATTTTTTTTTAACATATAATAAATTTCGGGCTAACAGTTTTGATGCATGTAACCTTCCATATTTATCGAATTTTTCAATAAAAAGGGTTAATACATTTATCATTTGCCTCATATATCAAGATTTGTGTAATTTTTTATGTTAATAAAGTATCAACTAATTAGATCTTCAGGTAAAAAAAATAAAAAACGCGGTTCAATTTTAATGAATATGGATAAGAATTCTGAATTGGATTCGGAATTGAATTGGATTCAGAATCGAATTCGAATTAATACATTCTGTTTGGAACTAAAATATTTTTTTGGGAAGGAATTTTTTGTAAAATTTGGGTGTTGAATTGAAAACAAAAGCAATCGTTTTGTTGTAGAAAATGTATTTGTAGATCAAATATGTAAAGGTTTACTTTATTTTTCACTTTATGTAAAAAATTAATCAACTATAAAAATTCTCCTGCCAATATTTTTTTTAACTATACGTTATTATCTGAGAAATATTTTAATTATAGCATGCAGGTTGCAAAAAATCCATCAGTTTTTTCATTTCTCTTAAGGTAAAAAACAAAAAATTAGTTATTTTTTCATTTTTCATTCGCTGAAGGCAAAAATTTTTGTTTAAAAAAATTATTGTTACGCAAGCGGGATTAGTACTAAGGCAAAAAAAATTTTTTTCGTTACGCAAGTGGGAAATTTAATATTAATAATTCTTTTTATTAGTAATAAATATCTTTATTCTTAACAAAAAATTGTTACGCAAATGGGATTTTTAATTCAAAAAATTAAAAATTAACTACAAAAAAAATTGTTTCCTTCGTTTTTTTAAAAAAATTATTGTTACGCAAGTGGGATTTTTTTAATTTCAAAAAATTAAAAATTAACTACTTTTTTTACTAATCTAATATCATTTATTTATACTAAATCGTAACAACAATTTCTGGCATGTTTTTACTCTCAAAACTATCTTTCACTATCATTAAACAATTTCTTGTACTAAACAATAACTTTTTTAGATTTTACATTACTGATCACGTTTCTTAGTGGGTGCCTTCCTTAGCTGTTCTTCCATACTCAAGTCAGGTGCGTTCTCAAAACTACTAAATAAAATTCATTAAATATCACCTCACTAAAAGAAAAGAAAAGAAATAAAAAAAATGGACAAATATAAAACAAGAGAAAAAATGATTATGCATGGGATTTGGTATGGATTCATTGTTAGGGATAGATTTATTATCATTACAAAAATACAATATTCAAGTCAACAACAAGGACAAAGATAAGGACAATATTATTTATTATTCCTAATTAAATGTATTACTTGAACTTTCTGTGTAGAACTATTTTCAAGTTATTTCTAAAGTGATCCAATAATTTAAATTCTTTTGTTTGAATTTAATCTGAGAATTAAAGGTCTGTTACATCAGAATATTTGTTTCTCCGTTGTCTGAGATATTTTCCGTGATCCAATTATTTTATTGGTGATTAAATAACAATATTAAAATCATTCAACTTTGCCGAAGGCCAGAAATTTTTCTTCAAATAGTAACTTTTATTTGAATAGAGACTTTAAAACAGTAAATAACAAGTAACACTAGTGACGAAGTCACTGTCATAAAGCATTCATCTAGTTTTAAAAAAAAAAGTGTAACATTACACAATTCGCTCGTCGGGTATCATACGCATTATGTATTAACCCACATCTAATTATTATCACTATATACAACAAGACTATTAAAGAAAAATAGATTGATAATATATACAGTATTTTATTTGAAGCCTATTATTTAAGAAAATTTTTTTGGTCCAAGTATGTCAATGTCCAACATATGTTAACACATAATATTAATTAATATAAAATAAGCAATGATCTATTTTTTATCAATATCATTTTTTTGATCAAGTACAGAAGTAATAAACAAACAAACAAATAACTTGTATCACATTAATAAAAGCCGTTGAGAATACTTATTTCTTTAAGTATAAATGAGAATGTTTTGCCAATAATATATAATACTTATTGTATTAAAAGTTATAACGTTGATGTTTAGAAGAAAAGAAAATAATGGCTTGGTCTCTAAAACCCATAACTTTTTCCTCTTATATAACCTCCAATACCTGTTAGATCATTGGATCATAACTGAAAAGATAGAAAATGAAACATATATTATATTAGAGAAATATATACATAAATTTGTTCAAAAAAAAATCAAACTCCCTGACATGCAAATTTTCTTGATTTTAGTAAAAATCATACTTTGTACAGATTAACAGATTATGAAAGAGCAACTCAAACAGTATTTATTCCAATGGTTACCATTAGAGATTTTTTAATAACTTTTTTTACCAACATTCTATAACCAACTTTAAATAGGATTAAGGTCAGAACTATTGAGTGACCAGTCTATTACACGAATTCTTTTTTCAGAAATGAAAGTTCTTGTATTTATTATCGTGCAAACAAGATATCCATCCATTTTGTCATGCGAAATTAAATTTTTTCACTTACATTTCGACACATCAAAATAAATAAACAAACAAACATACAAAAATAATCATTCATTTTAAAAAAAATATCAAAATTACAATTTCATTGTTTTTTGAGTT